TAATTTATGATTCAATATAAGAAGTCTATATTTTTATTAGTGTTATAAAAGTTTTTCTATGAAGTGTTCACTCAATATTCATATGAGGCATCATACTGGCGAAAAGCCCTACTCGTGCACTCAAGTATATCTTTTAATTATTTTATATAAAATTAAAAATAATAATTATATAATTTTTAAGTGTAATCAAAGTTTTTCTACAATGAGCTCACTCAAATGTCATATGAGGCGACATACCGGTGAAAAGCCCTACTCGTGCACTGAAGTATATGTTTTAATTATTTTATATATAAGTTTAAATAAAAATATATTCATATTTAATAGTGTAATATAAGTTTCTCTTACACGACCACATTCTATCGTCATATGAAGCAACACACTGGTCAAAAACTCTACCCATGCACTGAAGTATATGTTTAAATTATTTTATTTAATATCATGTATAAGAACTAAATTTTTTATAGTGTAATAAAGCTTATTCTAAGGACAAACTTAAGATTCATATAATGCAGCATAGAGGTGAAAAACCATTCACATGCACTGAAGTATACATTTTAAACGTATTCAATTAAATTTTAATATAATAAGTACATTTATTTATAGTGTAATAAAAGTTTCGCTTTCATGAGCTTACTCGATAATCATATGAAGTGTCATAGTAAACACAAGCCCTACTCATGCACTGAAGTATGTATTCCATTTTTTATCATGTAAGATTAAATATAATAAGAGATTATATATTTTATAGTGTAATAAAAGTTTTACTGCTAAGCAAGGACTCAAGGTTCATATGCAGCGACATACAGGTGAAAAGCCATTTTCATGCACTGAAGTATATATTAAAATTATTTATATTTAAGCTTAAGTATAACACGTGATTATATTTTTTATAGTGTAATAAAAGTTTTGCGTCTAAGCAAGGACTCGATATTCATATGATGAAACATACAGGTGAAATGCTATTTTCATGCACTGAAGTATATTAAAATTATTCATATTTAAGCTTAAGTATAATACGTGATTATATTTTTTATAGTGTAATAAAAGTTTTGCGTCTAATCAGAGACTAAAGATTCATATGCAGCGACATACAGGTGAAAAGCCATTTTCATGCACTGAAGTATATATTAAAATTATTTATATTTAAGCTTAAGTATAATACGTGATTATATTTTTTATAGTGTAATAAAAGTTTTGCGTCTAAGCAGAGACTAAAGATTCATATGCAGCGACATGCAGACCAGAAGCCACACGTTTGCAATGAATGTGGGAAGTGTTTTCTACAGGAAATTGAGCTACGTTATCACAGAAAAACTCATTTACACCCATTTGCCTGTGATCAGTGTGAAGAAAAATTTAAAACCAATAAGAAGTAAATAATTATTTATATTTATAAAAAATAAATTTATTAATAGCTTAACTTTGCAGACTTGAACAACATATTAAAACTCATTCATCTGAAAACAAACAGAAAAATGAACCCCAGGGACATAAATTCAAGTGCCAAGATTGCGAAGCGGTATATTCGACAGAGGATGAGTTGAAAATTCATCATAACACGGGAATTCATTTAGGTAGAGTATTTTCAATATGTGCAAAATATTTATGATTTAAGAATTTAATTATAATATGATTAATTATTTATTTAAATAATAGATATTTTTGAGGTTAGAAATCTTTATTTAAATTGTTAATTGTTTTCCATAAGTATTTCACTAAAACGTGAAGTTACGGTTTTAAGATTTAATCGCCATAATTTTGAATTAATTTAAGTATAAATATACAGCATTTATTACTGCACATATATCGAATTAATTCTGATAATGTAAGCGTAAACTAAATATCAATTCAAATAATATTTAATAAAAAAAACTGAGTTTTTCAAACTTTATAATAGGTTTTATATCTATATATTTTATAACATAAATCTTTTGAATTATTTTAAATAATTTTTTTCTATATAAAATTTTTATAATTTAAAGATTTGGAAAAACGTCGTAGAGACGATGCGAGTTATGACAAGAAATTTAAGCCATGTTCCGATAAAAATTCAATGGAAAATAGTACAAGACATAAAAGAAAAATTAAATTACCCGTAAAATATCGTGAAGAAAATTCTTCTATTGTTCAAGAATTTATAAAGGATGAAGTATGTGAAATAAGCACAGAGCAAATAATTTTAGAAAACGAAGAATACAATTCTATGACACTAGAAAATCAGAGTATAAAAACCGAGCCGGACACCACTGTTCCCGATACTCCAGCTAGTGCATTCAAAAGTGGCGTTGCAGAATTAGAATATATAAAATCAGAAATTAATGAAGCAAATACATAGAACTTATTATTAGAAAATGGAAAAAACACCAAAAACTTTTTTCGAGTATTTAAGAAATGTCTTTGCAGATAATCGATCAGTCGGCGGTGACATTGCTGTATAAAAAAACTAAAAGAAAGGAATGATATATCAACAAAGCTGAAAAGTATTGTTCCTTCAAAGAATCAACAGCTAGAAAGGAAACATGGTTTTACCATCATAAACGATTTTTCTAATAATAAAAAGTATGAAGATTACAAATTATTTTAAAATAAAAAGTAATATCCGAAAATTTACTTTGGAATTAAGTTTAACAGTATATATTAGTTGATATATATTTTGTTAGTTAATTTTAAAGGATTATAACTATGAAATTTTAGAAGTATGTTAAATTTGCTGATATTATGTTATTTGTGGAAAATTGTGACTATGATTAGGAGAATGCTGATTATTGTGATTATTCAAGACGCTTGCGAGAATACACAAAATCATCGTTTAGAAATCTGTTACAATATAATTACAAAATTCATCTCTCATATTATTAGTTGTAACGATGATTATGTCGAGATTTTATTTTTGAAACACTTTTATTTTGAATACTTAACTTAAAACTTTTACAAGTTTTAATTTTGTACAATTAACAAATGTACAATTGTTAATATAAATAAATAAATTAAATATTGCATCAGTGAAAACTTACGAAAATTTATTTTTAAAAATTTTTGTCACATGTATCGAAATCTTCTCTGTCATACATAATCGTTATCATAATCGTGATTACATAAATAATATATATATATATTATTTATTTTTTTGCCGGACTTATGGTATGATCACGAGAATTAAAAAAAACGTAAAATTCTAATTTTTAATAATTTTCTTTATTAACGCCTTCAAAGTACTCTCCTCCTGCGGCAATACATGCATGTCAACGCTTGATCCAATTTTCCATACAAGTTTTATAGGCCGCCGAAGGTATGGCCTTTAGTTCACGGAGCGAATTCTTTTTTATGGCTTTTATGGTTTTTATGGTCTAAAAACGCGTTCCTCGCAATGGCAATTTGAGTAGGCGGAAGAGGAAAATGTCACACGGGGCCATATCTGGAGAGTACGGTGCTTGTTTGATGATATTGATGCAGTTTTTGGCCAAAAACTACGACACATCCAACGATGTGTGAACCGGTGCGTTATCATGATGTAATATCGAAGAGTTTTCCTTCCATAAATATGGCCTCTTATTGCAAATAGTCTCACGCAAACGACGCATAACGGCCAAATAATACTCGTTATTGACCATCCGGAAGGAATTCATAGTGCTCCACACCACGAATATCGAAGAAAACAGTTAGCATAACCTTGATTTTGGACCGACTTTGGCGTTCTCTTTTCGGTTACGGCTCACCTTCGAAGCACCATTCAGTCGATTGTTGTTTGGTGGGCATGTCAAATTCATACACCCATGTCTCATCACCAGTTATGATGCGTTCAATGAATGTGGAGTCACTATATGCGTTGGAAATCATTTCTTTGGTCACATCACAACGATGCTTTTTTTTGAATGAAATTCAGGTTTTTTTGGCACCAGCCGAGAAGCGACGCGTTTCAAACCCAAAACATCAGTTAAAATGTGTACGGCCAATCCATATGAGATGCTCAACAACACTGCAATCTCTCAAATCGGTTCACAACGATTTTTCAACATGATCTGCTTCGCCGATTCAATGTTTTCTACAGTAACAAATGTTATTGGGCGGCCAGGGAACTCATCATGTTTCAAGCTTGTCTCTAACAGTCATTCTCAGAAATTCACTTACAAAGACAATAGAATATTCTGTTGTAATTCAAAAATATGATTTTATGCATATAAAAAGGTATTCAAATGTACTCCATAACGTCGTAACTCGAAAAAGATCGTGTATATATACACATTTTTATTACTATATTTTCAAGATACGGCGGATACATTTAATTAATAAAAATTAATTAATAAAAAAAAAACATCAAGTTTTGTTGGAACATTATTGCACATAAATAGGCTTCGTGTAAAGATGAGTTTCTCTGACTGCTTTAATTGCATCCCTGTCGTGCAAGATCAAGAATTTTTTCTTTTCTTACAGATGTCAATGATAAGGAAAAGACAACAAATGTTTGATAGATGATCGTGTTAAAAATGTTAAATTTTGTATTGACAATAAATTATATTCGTTTTGTTCATAAAATAGTTATTTGATATGTTTTAAAATTATTTTTCTCTCGACTAATAATATATGTTTTAAAAGTGATTTAGATATTTGTTTTTGCTTCGTATGTAAATAGGTAATTGCAAATGAAGCAATATAAAAATATTAAATTGATTTGTTTGGAGATATTTAAATATTTTTATTATGAAATAAATTGTTTTATAGTAAACACTATTCGCAAATTGTGACTCGGGCAAATTACAACAAGAGACACAAAATCACCTGAGTTTTAACTTTCATCAAGCCGTTTTTTTTATGAAAAACTGATATTTATTTATTTATCATCAATTATTTTACGTAAAGTTAAATTGACCTGCGTAAGATCCGATAAAAAAATTCATAAAGGACGGAGCCCTGAAATTATTTACGAAAACTGACAGGCTTACCAACACTACGTTATCGAATCTCAGAATGGTTACAGGCTCCTCGGGAAGGTATGCAGATCTGAGGTCAGTTATTGCTTAGTCTGATGAAGTGATAAACAATAATCTAGTCAAAGCGTAGAGTGGGATTATGAAGAAACGTTAATAGAGAGTAAAAGGGCTCAAGTGCACTGATTCAACTAGCCTCAACATAATAAGATTTAAATCGAGATTGACAATATACATTTTATTTTATCACTCATTTTTCGTTAGTTTATGCACTATAAGAGATACTCAGTGTTTCTATTAAAAATTAAATGGATAAAGACTAAGGAAATGGCTTAACAATTTTAAACGCCTATGATATTAAATAAAAGCGAAAGTTAAGGTTATTCTGGCTGGCGGTAAGCCACACAAAGATCCAATGGTTGTTAGTGATACCAGATCTCTATGTAGGTTTACTATAAGCATAAATAGGATGTTAATGTTATTTTTTAAATCCAAGACCTGCTTACAGCTCCATTCATAAGACGTTCTCTCATTTTTCGAATTCTGGATACCCCAAGAATTTTAAGATTGTTCGTTGTAACGCATAGCATAAATCTAAGTGTTTTCATATATGGGTCAAAATATCAAATCCTTCCCAAATGCTATGAATAATAAATATATTAAAAATTTACATTAATGGAATATACAAATTTAGAAGAAAAGCGCTGGAATTGGTATCAGTTCCGAAACTAACCTAAGCTTAACTATTCGGTATCAACTTTAACTTACGCTTTTTTATAAATAATTAAACTACATACTTGAAAATTAACTTACGAAATTTTTTTTGTTTCAAATTTAGGGTTTGTATCACTTGCACACTAATGCATTTTCAATACAAATAATGACGATTTTGCCAGTTGCACCATCCCTACAAATATATTTGAACACAGCAATGAGTAACTGTCCGCAGGTAAAACAAAAGAAAATGAGTCACTACGTTCTACAAACCATTTCGATTAGAGGCGAAAGTGGTCCTATAACAGATATTATTAATTTTAAGCTAGCTGACAATAGTACAAACAATTCTGAACTTCAATCTAATGAACACATTCCCGAAGCATTACCTCCAAGTGCTGAGGAAAATCAAAATTGTCGTTCTCAGAAACATATGTGTAATAAATGTTATAAGCCATTTAGTCAGTTTAATGTAAGTTTTAACATTTTTATTATTTTAAAAATATATTTATTTTAATTTAAATAGGATCTTAAGAATCATTTGGCTTTTTGTCACTTTGAAGGCGGTTACCATTTACGGAAAGCAGAAATGTTGAAAAATATTGAGAAAATTGAGAAAGATGCAACTAATATGGAGACCAATGATATATGCTTTTGTTGTGGAGAAAGTTATGATACATTTCATGTAGGTCATTTAAGTATTTTGCTAAAATTAATAAAAAAAAATGTATTTTCTATTTTAAATGTATATCCACAACCTTTTAAAAAATTAAATATAAACATTTTTATAAGGTACTAGACTCAACGAACATAATATTCATTGATAGTATCAATGAAAATATTAATATAATTCACATACTCAAGTTGTTTATTAATGATAAAAACTGCGTGAGAATTTCATGACAATATATATTTTAAAAATATAAAAATATGACGATATTAGTAATTTTAAATCAATATTGTAATTTTTATATTTAGTTTCTTCTACGTATATTGTATATGGTGTATAGTGTATAATATTTGCATTTGTTCCCAGCTAGAAATCTCAAACAAACGTTCTTTCAATTTATCTAATTTGAATAATTTATTTAAATCTCAAAACTTTATTTGGTGAAACCATAAAACTGATATCTCAATAATGATCACTATATACCAAGTATTTCTGTTTTTTACAGTTAAATAAAATTTACCATAAGGATTATATTTTGATTAATGCTAATTAATTCATTAATTATAATTAAATTCATTAATTCTAATATAATAAGGCCATACTGGAATCAGTTGCAACATTTCTCTCACAAAGTATATTTCTAAAATATATATGTACAGATTTTAAATGAATTAACTAAACTTTAACATTTTGTAAACCAATTATGAGTTTACAACAGTAAAGAATATTTTGTACAGTATCTTTTTCTTTTTGATGTAGATATTTAAATATAATTAATTATCTACGCATAATATCTGGCATTTTTATAATTACTATTAATTATTTATCATATAATCATACATAACATCAATATAACGTGATAATTTTATTAATATATCTGTAATGTAAATGCGACTTTTACATTATTTACTACATTAATTTTTCAAAAAATATATTTTTGATTTATATATCAGTTTGAAAAGAGATATTAGGATTAATTCGAGTTATAAAAAAGTAATAAATTTATTAAATGAGCCTATCAGATCGTTTGACTAATATTCACGCTTTAAAAGTACTGTTCAATCTTTTATACTTTCTTAAATATACGGTAAAGAAGTTAAGTGTTATCATAAAATTCTTATACAAGTTCAAAAAAATATTTATCAATTATTAGACAAACAATTTTAAAATGTTCACATTTTTTAAATCTTGTTCTTGTTTTTTTTTTAGTTGGGTCAAATAAATTGCGATCATTGCCCAAAATCTTTTAAAACACAAATGAGTTACGAACGACATGTTTTCATAACACATTCGGAATTTGATCAATTTCCTTGTTCTATATGTAATGCAAAATTGCGGTCAGATCACCTATTGAAGCTGCACGAAAAACAGCATAAAACTCGTGGAAGGCTTTTCGCTTGTAAAGTATGTGGTAAAGATTTTGGACGTATAGACCACTTGAAACGGCATCAAAAATATACAGCCTGCTCAGCGAGTGCTAATGACACCATTAGTTGTAAGGTGTGTAATAAAGATTTTTCCCGTCTTGATAATTTGCGAAAGCACTTAAAGCATCACCTGTGTATACAACTAACAAAAAGAGAGAAATTTATGTGCCCCATTTGTAAGAATTGTTTTTACAGTTTATGGAATTTGAAGTAAATTTAATTTTTTAATTTAATTGATAATTATAAAATATTAATTGTAAACTATGATATATGCAGTAGACATAAACGTACACACACGGGAGAGCGCCCTTTTGCTTGCGATTTGTGTGAGAAAAAATATCCGTCATTGGATGCGTTGAAAAGCCACCGTCGTTCGCATACTGGCGAGAAACCCTACACATGCGCTGAAGTAATTATTTCAATTATTTTTTTAATGATTAATTTTATAGATATTTATATATTTATAGTGTAATCACTGTTTTATTGATAAGAAGGCACTAAATCGGCATTTAATGCGGCATGTTTGCAACATATGTGGGGAACATTTCATAAAAGTTACACAGTTACGCTATCATATTAAAACTCATATATATCCACATGCCTGCGATAAGTGTGAAGAAAGATTTAAAACAATTCAACAGTAAGTAAATATTTTTTACTTTATAAAATGAATTGAATATTTTATAACATGGTTTTGCAGATTAGAGCACCATACCAAACTTCATACATTAAAGTTCAAAGGAAAAAATAAAATTCAGGAGAGCAAATTTAAATACTATGAATACAAAACTGCTTCTGCAGAACCGGAAGACTACAACGTAAAAATTCAAATACGTGAGTTATTTTTAAGATATATTAAATTTCAATAAAGATGTTCTTGATAAACTTGTAAGTTCACTTATAAGTTAACTTAAGTGTTTTGCTTTTTAACATAAACCCAGGAACCGTAACAGTAAAAGAGTTCGTTTTGTTTTTGTATTATTTTGTGTATAGCAAAATTTTAATATAAAATGGAATTATTATTAATGAGAATTAATTTTTATATTGATTTTAGCTAAATATACCAACAGTAGGCTCGAAGATTCAGAAAAAGAAGAAACAAACTGTACAATTTATGTAAAAGAATTCGATTCAGTTAAAACTCTAAACTCTCATATACTTAAACTAAATAAAGAGAAATCGGAGATTTTCCATAAAACCAAACAAAAAGCACAAAAAGTAAAATTGGATAAGTACGACTCGTTACCAACAAAGATTTATAGAATTGATGATTTCAATGATAATTTTACTACAACAAATAATAAGGCTACATTACCAAAAGAAATGATTGCAGCCGAAGAAGATACAACAGATCGATTGTTATTGGAAAATGAAGAATATTGTGTTATAACGTTAGAAAATGAGACTATATATAATGAGCGACGAACGTCTGTTTCTAATAGTTTAATTGATCCTATTACAAACGCCGTTGTAGAACAGTTTATAGAAGATGAACCACCTGAAGTTTCCACTGAACAATTTTTAAAAAATGATGAATACTGTGTTATAACTCAAGAAAGTAAGACTATGAATACTGAGTCAAGAACTGCTGTTCCTGAAATTGTAGTTGATAGTAAAACAGAGAATCAAACACCGGTCGAAGGTGATGCCATTGTACAACAATTCACTGAGCAATTATTAGAAAATGAGGAACACTGTCTTATAATTCAAGAAAATAAGACTATGAATTCCGAGCTAAGAACTGCTGTTTCTAAAGTTGTAGTTGGTGGTATTACAGAGGATCGAACATCAATCGAAGGTAATGCCGTTGTTCAACGATTCATAAAAGATGAACCATTTGAAGCGTCTACTGAGCTATTGGTAAATGAAGAATACGATATTATAACTCTACAAAAGAAGTCTACAAATATTGAGCCAAAAACAAGTGTTCCAGATAACGTAATTGATACAAATAAAGTGAATCAAATATTGGGTGAAGGTGATGCCATTGTACAACAATTTATAAAAGTTGAACCACCTGAAGCTTACACTGGGCAATTATTGATGGATGAAGACTGCTGTTTTGTAAAGTCAATGAATGAGAGTATGAAATTTGAGCCAAAAACTATTGTTCCTGAAAGTTCACTTGATACTATAGTGGACGATCAAGCATCTATTAAAGTTAATGCTGTTATACAAGAACTTATGGAAGATGATTTGCCTGAAATTTTCATAGAAAAATTTTTAGAAAATGAAGAATACTGTGTTGCAGCTTCAGAAAATGAGACTATAAAAACCACACCGAATAGTGCTGTTTCTGAAAGCGTAATTGATCGCATTACAAACAATCAAACATCGGTTAACGAAAACTTCTTTGCACACAAATTTGTAAAAGATGAGCCACCTGAAATTTCCACAGAGCAGTTATTATTAGAAAAAGAAATATGTACTGTAATAGAAAGCCAGAGTATAAAAATGGAACAGAGAACAGATGTTCTTGAAAGTCAGTTTGATGCGTTTACAAATGATCGAACATCAGTTGAAGGTATTGCACAAAAATATATTAAAAATGAAGTATCTGATGCAACAACAGAGCAATTATTATTAAACAATGAATTATATACTATTACTACACTAGAAAATAAGAAAGTAGTAACGCAGTCAAAAACTACTGTTCTGAAGAATTTACCGAAACAAAATAATTATATTAAATCTTTAGCTGAAAGCCTAGTTGCTGCCGTTACAGACCCTGCATCTGACGATGAGAAAGTACAAATTACGACCAAAGAAAAAGAAAAAAGTGATGATGAGACAAAAATAAAAAGTAACGTTCGGAAACTATTGGATATTTTAGTGGATAGAATTACTTTGACAAAATTTGGTTGGCCACAAGAAACTGAAGAATATGTATGTTTCTTAGATAATTTGTAATTTTAATTTTTGTTTTAAGTTATTTGATTTTTCTTTAACAGGTACTTTGCAGAGTAATAGAAAATTGTGGATATGATTTAAGTAAGGATAAGACAAGCTATGTTGATTGTGATTATGCAACACGCATGCGTGGGTATGTAAAATTGCTCTTTAGTGTTGTTTTACATAATGATTCCATATTGGAACTCTTAAACTATTATCCAATTGATGATGTGATTAAATTTGTATTGGATAATGATGACAACGATTGAAACATGCTTAAATAAAGATATTTTTTTAAAACATTATCTGTAAAAAAGGTAATTATGTAAATGCAGTGCATTTATAGCCGGGTTTTAATATTTAATGTTTATCGTAATAGTAACATTTGTTTATATGCCATAATTTGCTATATAAAATTATATATAACAATTGTAGTAACTTTTGAGTTTGCAAATATTTATTTCAAAAAACTTTGTCCAAGTATTATTAATATCTATCAATGTATTAATATTTATTTGTAAATTATTTTCTATTAATTTTGTTGTAAATTTTAATAATTCATTTGGTGTAGATATTCAGTTTTGATCTAGTATAGATAATTAGAAATATTTGTTTTGGGTCAATGTGCTTTAAATAATTAATTGAAATTAATAAAATCGAATGTAATAGAAATATAATTTATTATTATATTGTGAATTCTTGATGTAATTAATAAGAATTGTTTAATTAATTTATTTCGTTAGATATAAATTACCATATCTATTAGTAGAGTTAACTCATTTAATAAACTGGAAGTTCATACATCTTCAGCTCAATTTTTTCTTCTAAAATAAGTGCTATAGTATTGACATTGTTATACTATATCAATATATATTGTTAAATATTTCACCACAATTAAATGGTTTTTTGAAAAATCCGATAAAAGCTGCTTAAACGAAATTCGCTAAATAATTTTCAAACAAAGAAGAATAGACTTAATAATTTTTAAAAAATTGAAAACTTAATTCGAATGGAACATGAAAACGATGTAAATTACTTACCTATATTCTGAAAGGTCAAAAGCTAAGAGCCAAACAAAAGGCATTGACAAGACTATATTCAAATATGTGGAATTAAAAATTACGAATGATATCTATTTTTAATAAAATCTAAAAACAAAAATTGAATAAATTCCGGAATCACATGAATAATAAAAATTAAAAATAATAAATATTTTTTTTAAGCCAATTTTGAAATTGATATTTTAAACGTATACACAAATAAACAATAACAACAATTTGATGTCAATTATAAAGTAAACTCAACGCATATATTCGTTGTCAAAAAAAAAATAAATTTATATTTATGAATATAAATATATTATATATAAGTTTATATGTATGAATAAAAATATAATTTATACAAAAATTTATATTTATGAATATAAATATAATTTCTATATACATTTACATCTAAAAATAATAAATATTTATTATTTTGGGTGGAAAAAAATGTTAATAAAGAATCGTAAAACCTCAAGCAAAAAGAAATAACTTTTCCAAAAAAAAGAACAGTATAGTGAGATCTTACAAAATGTATGCTTGGAATCAATTACTTTCCATTTAGCAAAACAATACATAGTGGAGAATATTTCAGTGGACTAAATAAGAAAACTGAATTGCTGTTTAACATTGTAAATTATATATTATTTATTTCTCTGTTTATATTATTGTTGGGAATTTGTTTGTCTAGCATTCAAGAAAAATAAATTTATAATATGCAATATATTTAGGTAAAATAAATATATAAATAAAAATAATCATTCAACTATCAATACAAATAATCAAACAAGTAATTGTTTTTTAGCATTTAAAATATTTGTGTAACCGGTTCTAATACGTCATACACAATCAACGTTGCTGTTCGTTTTTTACTTATGTCAAACACAATATTTGCTTCGAAATTTGGTTTTCCCGGTGCAAGTACCGTTTACACATTTAGTATTGGTCGAAGTTTTCATTAATATCAAATTCAAAAGTATGAAAACGTGAACAAATATTATAATAATATTGTTTATAATAATCATTTAAAATATATAACAATTTATTTTAATTACTATGGTTTAATATTTGTTTAAAATAATTTAATATAGAATATAAAAATAGTACTTACGGATTCTTATACAGCAAAGCTTCAAATATATTTTTTTAAATTGCGTATTATCAAACACAAACAGTTTTTTAACAATAAATTCACATAGTTTTTAAATATATTATTAAATAAAAAAATTTACGATTTTCGCAGATATATCTATATCTATTAGACACACAAATTAAATAATCTTCTAAAATTAAATCATTTTTTTCTTCATATTCACATAAAATACATAATTTTATGCATTATTAAATTAAAAAAAAATTGTTTCAATAAAATAACAAATATTGCAAACGTATTAAATAATAAAATAACGTAAGAAATTCGCGGATTATAAATATATACATACAGTTATACATTACACGCTCAAATTCATTAATTCTTTAAAATCAAAATCATTTTTTTTTTTCATATTCACAAAAAATTTTAATTGAATGTATTAAAAAGAAAATATTTTTAACAAATTATTAAACAAGACACCGTACAAAAATCGTGGCTTACAAATATATACATAAGTATATACATATAACACTCAAACTCTTTAAGTATAGTCAGTAAAATTTAATAGATCTTGTGTAGAAATTTAAAAACCCTGCGAAAAAAACCCGTCACATTCAATTGCTTCCGAGGAGACCTTCACTTTAGCACAAGTAATTTACGACTGCTTTAAAATTTCTACAATGAATTATTGTCGTATCGAAATAACAAAATCAATAATAACTGTTTAAACAAATTTTGCTCAACAATTTATAACAACAAGTACAGTAAGAATTTAGGGCAGCTTTTCTTTTATTGAGTGTTTAACAACAGCTGCAAATCGCAGTTTAACTCAAAAAAAAATAATTAAATATTTCATTTTTAAAAAAATATTTACGTATGTATATTTAATAACAAATTTTGCTATATAAAATATTTAAAAACGTTGTATAGTGATTAAAATAATAATAAATAAAAGCTATATCAAAAATAAACAAAACAATTTTTATTAATAAAATGACATATGTGCATTTTACAGAAATTATTTAGTATATATAAAATTATATAAAATTATATAATTTTATATATACTAATTATATATACAATTATATAATTTTTTTTATTTAATTTTGATTTACAATTATATAATTTTATATACATTAATTATATATACAATTATACAATTTTATATATATTAATTATATATACAATTATATACAATTATGTTATAAAAAGTATATACGAATGTTTTGAAATTTGTACAATAAATTTTTGTCACTAATAATTAACGGAATCCATAAATTTTGCTAATAATTGAAAAGTAAAAAGTAGATAAAAAACTTATTTAATGTGCTCATTTTGGTTGGTTTTGTTTTGCACAACACTGTATATCAACTCTATATTGTTGTTGTTACTCGTGAGGATCTGCTTGTATATTCCCTTTTGGGTGAGGTGAACGACACTTGGTGGTCAAACTCGACGAGTTAATCCGGTCCGTTCTTGGAATCTATCAACACTCATTACCCGGAGATCATTTGTCATTTGATATTTATCCATACATAAATTAAAAGATTGCTAACAGTATTGCACAAAAACCTGTTGACAGGGATTATAGTATTAGCCATCCATATTTGCGAATTAAATTTAAACACAAATAAAATAACTGCTATTTATGCATAAAACCCATTCAATTGCAATTGAATTTTTTAAAGCATATTTTTTGTCTTATTTTTTATTAATAATTTATGTATATTTAAAAAAAATTTCACATACTTTTTAACATTCTCAATTTATATATTTACTATATATACATATCATTTATTCTTCGTTCATAAAACAAAAATCACAACTACGATATATTTAATCGCTTCACTCATGAAGTCTATATAGACATGTATTAAAACTTTTCCCTAATAATAAATTTTTAGTGCAAATTCTAATTTTTCTTATTTTGTAATTTTTATAAAATGTGAAGAATATTTTTTAACAATATATAAACTAACTATAATTTTTTAAAATTTATTATTTCATAGTTAGTTTTAGGCGTAGAATTATCGTTAGGATTTAAATATATTTTAATTTAAATATGTATTTAAACAAAAAATTTTTTTTTCAACTATTTGTAAGGCTTCAAACCGCAACTAAACTGAAAAAGATAAATAATCCTGCTGGCGCGAATACCTGAACCAAATCGAAAAAATATATCGGGTTATTTCCGTACCTGTTTATTCACACGCATTCGTCTTCAGTAGAAGTTTTTTAAATCTCATTTATAAATAATAACTAATTAATATAACTAATTTATGATATTAAGTCTTTTTTGAATTAAAGATAATAAAACTAAATGATATGAAGCTGAACAAAATCATTAAAGAACATTGAATTTTAAAGTATATGTATGAAAATGTGTTATGTAGGGAAATGTTTATTTAATGTATGAAAATGTCTAAAATAATTTTAGTTATGATGAAAAATTTAATTTATAGTTTAAAATTTATAAAAGCTAATCACACTGAACTAAATTGAGACCCAAAAAACCGTTATTACTTGCGAAACGAAAGCCCTAACCGAAATGAAATCTGGTTTGAAGCCCTGATTATTTGTTTAAAAGAGTTGTATTAATTAAAAATGGTAGACATAAAATATTTAAAAAGTAAAACTTTGCTGATCCAATTCACGAATCACCTGCACGCTGCGCTAGTAGTATATAATAATTCTTAAGGATCTTTTGGGTCAAACCACGAACAACTTTAATCAAGATACAATATCGTTCTTAAGTTGTTTATTATGGCAGCCATGTAAAATTGTTTCACTTGGGACAAAAATTATATATCGTAACAATGATTTAAAATTATGTAATTTGGGACAGAAATTATTATAAATTGTGACAGATATTTAGTATTGTGTAATTTAGAAAAACATGAATAAATTTGGAACAGAAATCATTATATATCGTTATAGTCATTTAAGATTGTGTGAATTGAATAAACATAAATATAAAGTTATAAATATTATTACAATTATTGATGCAGATGTTTAAATATTTAATTTAAATATTTATTTATGATACATATAAAAAATTAGTCGAACATTTCTTTAGGTACTTGTAGATTATATGTAGTTAATAGACATTATTTTTTTTGTTTTTATTACGGAATTTAATTTTGAATAATTAGAATTGTGTATCACAATGAAAAATGTCATCAAAGTTGCATATTAATTATAAATAACGATTTATTTTGATTTACATATAAATATGTAAATATTTATTATTTATTATTTATAATTATTATTATTATTATATGTGATGTAAACTATCTCATTAGTAATTTTTGTATATTAGGTGTACATATATTCCATATGTATTCACAAAAGTTGTAACTGTTTTATTAAACTATTGTTTTTATCTCTATATGATATGCCTGAACTATTGACTTTATAACATATATCATTTAAACGTAGAGAGGTAGAAACGCAGATTATTCATCAGATACTATATTGAATTGTTTACTAATTTTTATATAAAAAGTGTATTAACGTTTCTTTTTTTAAATAAATTTTCATTATTAAGCGGAACAAAAAATAACAGAAATAAATAAAGGGAATTTAAAATAAAAAAAATTATTTAAATAAAAATTTAATTTAATACTTATAAGTGTTGAACATGGTATATTATTGTTTATAACTGTATAATTAAAATTTAGTGATTTTATTTGGCGAATGCTTTAATATAAAAATCGCAAAGTTTTCTTCTATTACATATATAAATTATAATTAAATATATAAAAAATAATATAAATACATATGTTTTATTTCTATTTGTAATAATAACAAATGAATTTATAAAATATATATTGGTAAGCACTGAGTTTTTGAACAGCTGCATTAAAGTATTTTTGATTTGCTATGTCTAATAGTTTCGTATATAAATTTTCAAATTTATATATATGTATAATAAAAATATAAATAAGAAAACATTTTTTTTACAATTTCATATGTTTAATTTTAGAATTTTGTATAAACTTAATAACTCTATTTTTTTTTTGTAAACAATGCTTTTGGTCAATTCTTTTCTTAATTTATTAGCAAAATTAAAAAATTTTAAAGCATAAAACTGGCTCGGTTGTTAATTTATTGGCAAAAAAACAAATTAAACTTTGGGCAACTAAAATTATATTTTATTAAACAAATTGCTTAAGTCTTACTAATAATGCAATTAATTGCATTATTTATTTTTAGAAAAAAAAAATAAATTAAATTTATTATTATTATGATATTTAAAAGTACAATTGAATTTTGAAAAATTTTTGGAAATTGTCTCATTTTTTTAAGTGTAAATTTTGACAAAATAACACAGTTGCCAGTAGTTTATAAACTAAATGGTATATAATATATAAATAATTCTTAAAGGCAAATTTTATGTGATTTGCAACTAAAAACAATGAGTGTGTTGTTTAGTGTTTACACTTATTTTGTTTTTAGCATATTTTTACTTTGTATTTGTAATGTGTATTAAAGTATTTAGTTCTTATAAAATCATAATAAGTAACGTTCATTGCCTTATGCTACAATTCAAAGAATTCATCCTGTTGTTTTTCCAGTCGTTTAAGTGAATTCTGTACACGTCTCATTTGCGTGGTATTCAGCAATTGCGCCGTATCTGAGGTGCTGCCAGTTGAACTGTGACGTTGATGGTTTTGATGATTCTGTCGATCATTTTTATATGAATTATTTAAGTTATTATTGCGTCTACGCTCCACAAAATCGGTGGTTACAAACAGGTCATTGTCGCTTTGACTTGTTATCATTCTGAAAAAATAATTGTTTTTAATATTAATTTACAATTTATTATTTGTTATGTATATCTTAAATAGATAAATTACATATTATTTAAAAAGTGTATATAATTTATTATATAAACATTAATTTAAATAATTTCCTGATGATGACTTTAGACTAAAGTCGAAATATCGAAAAAAATAAAAATTATTGCAAAATTAAATTGTGATTTTTTTCTTAATTTTTATTTATATTTTTAACAACAAAAAAACACTTTATTAAAATTCTTTGGTCACAAATAATTAACATTTAATAATTATTAAATTTATTTATAGACTTTTTTCACTTACTCTTTCGATTTCTCAACATATTTTCTTGATTCCGATATGGTTGTATCAATTTTATTTAAAAAATCATTTATACATTTTCGATTCTCTTCATCAGGTGTCATTGCTGCTACAGAATCTAATGATTTACTCTGTTTGCTGCCACCAGTAGTACCATTGTGATTATTCAGTGCTGCATCATCATCACTGTTTTGTAATAGCAATTCCCCAGCTATTGAATATGGACGCGCGGGTAAAGCATTTGGACGTGGATTGTTCGTTGCATCTGTGATGTTATTGGCTGTGTTATTTTCTATTTCAGCTGGAGTAGTTGCTGTTGTGTGTGTGATGTTATTTTCATCTGGTTTTGGATAATATGGTGATGTTTTCTCAACCGGCACTAATAAATACTGACGTAAAAATAAACTATCGGAGGCAAATAGGCGATTGGCGCGGCGTATCTGTTCAGTCTGTAATTAAGTAATAATTGATTAATATTCAAATATTTTTAATCAATCAATCTGTTATAGAAAAAAAATAAATTTTAAAAACTATTTAAATCTGTTATTGTACAAAATGTATTTCAAAACGATTTGAAGTATATAAAATCGCAAATGTTATAGAATTGCAAATGTGAATTAAAAAAACCTAATAAATAATAATTTACTGATTAGTAATAATTACAAATAGATATTAATTATTACTAATTAATCGAAATGAAAAGATAAAGAAAGCGTTTTTCTGTGATTATAACACATCAATATATAATGTTGTTGTTTCTTAGAAAGGCGACTTTTTTGAAATCCTGATGGTAGTGGTGGGTAACACTTAAGCATCTGTACAGACAGATGGATCTGGATTATAAATCTGACTGCTTGACCTATCTACTAGATTCAAGTGTCGATGGAACGATACGGGGACAACAACAACTAATCCTGATATGGTAATTGAGCACAGTCAAAATTATAAGTTTTGTATAAATAAGTCAAGAGTTTCCTTATTTTAAAATAGAAAATTTTAAAAATCCTAGATTAATTATTATTATGAAGGTAAATATTGTACTACAAAATACTTTGTTGCTATTATTGTATGTTGTAAGCACCGTGGAACTTAAGAACAAGAAGCATAAAAGGATCACAAAAATTACAATGAGTTACAATGGATTATGTGATAAGAAAAGATAAGAGAAGAAAGGTTCTGCCAGATGAAAAAAGATTGTCTAGGTTAATTTTTATTTTAGTCATTAATCAATCACTGTGTTTTTTAAATGTACTTTAATTTGATAATACTTTTTACTTTTTATATCTTACTAAAGTAGTTAAATAATATTTTCAATTTTTCATTTTCGATTCTTGATTAAAAAAATCCTGAATCTCTAACTCCGTTAATGCAATTTTTTATGAAATTGAGATCCTTTGGAACCCTAAATTAATTTTGTGCATACATTTAAAAATACTCAAAAACCTATATAAATAGTGAAACAGAATGAATAATTATTATATTCAAAATATTTTCAGATAATCGTAATTTATTTATCAATCAAATCTGTTCAACTTTTGGTTACATATTAATATTAGAAATATTTTAATAGTTGCTAACCAATATTTTGACAATAATATTTATATTTATACTAACGTCTTTTTTTTTCTAGAAATATTTTATTTATATTCCACAAAATGTGAACTGCATTCTTGACTGATAAGCTAACATTACTTGTCTCAGCATTAATATAGCTTTATCTATATTAAAAAAATAAACAAAAACGTTTCTAGCAGAATTGTTTTTTGTATTAATTCAAATCGTTTTGTAACCTAAGAACTTAAAAAGTCGTTATTATAAAATCTGCAGTGGATTCATTGCGTTTAGCAACAAAACTTGAAATTGTTAATGTCATTTTGTCAGGTTTCGGTAAACAATCTTATCTAAAAAAATATGTATATGTATATTATATGTCATGTTTATCTTAAAGTTTTAGAAAAATAATTATACAAATTAGCTTTCTCTATATTACTCTCACATTCCTCTGACTTGACTCTTCATGAACAAATGTGTGAAGTATTATTTTTCATGAAGCATTAGAATGGTTATAAGCGTTTTTTTTTTATTTAAAAGTAGGCTAAGAGAAAGGGAATGGGGTTTATTTACATAATGCATGTGAGTTGTCTACAAAGTAAAAATGTTGAATCGATAATTTAAAGTAAAATACACGCCCCGTTGTGTTACCATGGCAGGAGTAACATTTTAAAGTTCTAGGGAAGTTATATGGTTAAGGTCAAAAGTCATCACGTACAAGGTTTAATATACATTTGATGAAATTACCAACTTGGGACATTGAAATGGTGCTAAATATGTAAAATATTTAAGAAGAATTAACCAAAATTTAAGACTAGACTTTTATTTACATATTTTTAAAGATTTATTTCATATAACGAATATAGCAGGTTATTGAGTAATAATATAAATTATTGCTTATTATAAACATTAAGACTTGATAACAAAATTACTCGAACATTTCAGGATTTTTGCTTATAGTTTACTTTGAAGTCTAGGTTCATATAAGTATTAAGCTTTTCCTGAAATTATTAACTCATTTAAAACCGGTAAAAATCCAAGATGGCTGCATACCGAACCGATTTTGAAACAAAACATGCGATTTTTTAAAGTGATTCTAAGAACGGCCGGCTCTATGTTCCAGAGCCACTCGTCAGTACGACGGGGAAGTGCCGTTCGCAATACTTATAAGGACTACACAAGCATATCCTTGCGGGTTTTGACCACATTTTTAGTGTAATTGGCTTCAATTTTATGAATCTGCTTAACCGTTAGTGCGAAATTGCAGATAAATTGCTTTTGAACAATCCACTTCAGAAATTAATAGTTTATAACTTAATAGTTATTGTCTTAAATAATATGTAGTTATTATGTTACACATTATAAATATGTAAAATAAGTTATATGTGAAAATTGCTGTAAATATGTTAATAATCGTAAATAAAAGAACTAACTTACTATTAACTAATTTACTACTACTAAAAAATAATATTATTATTTCCTAGCTTATTACTTGTAAGTGTTCGAGAATTATCATTAGTGCGTCTAATATTATTCGAGCTGTTTGAAACTTCAAGTATCTTAATTCTCGAGGATTTGGATCGAGGACAGTAAGCCGGTTGAATATGTTATATTAAAAGAAAAATAAAATAAAACGCAAAGCAGAATTTACTATTTGAGTGACCCGAGCATATTTGTGCGGCTAGAATAGTTACGAATATTTGAAGTGTTCGAATTCAACTATACACGCAACAACTTGACCAGTTTAAAGTTCGAACACTATAAAGCAATATTGAAGCTTGGAAATATTCGAGGTACTTGTACAACAAGTCTATGTTATGTTTCATTTTATACAAATATGTATAATAGCAAATAATAAAGTACAATATATAGTTCGAGTATATTTTCGAGTAGTTCGATATTCGCTTGCATTTGGCACGAATATTAAATGATCCTCAAACAATTACTTTTAGTTCTAACTTCAAGTTAGGTCCACAGGAATTATATAGTATATACATTATAAATATTAGTTGGTAAATATATATATACAATTAACATAGAAAATCAATGACAGCATAAAGAAAACATGTTTAAGCTTTAAATGCGTTAAGTGCGTAAAAGTCATGTCCATGAAAATAAAATTGATTATAAAAATATAAAAACAAAAATTTAATTAGCAACAATAATTAATTTATTAAGTTGGTAACTCACCGTACAGCCATATTTTAGTGCAATACCCTGCAGTGTATCCGTCTTCTCAATCTCGTGCCGGATCAACGCTTCATTGTTTCTCATGTGATTGCAGCATGTGGTACTACCATATGATTTCTTCAGCGTACGCGAAGATTCGCGTATTGATTGCTTTTCATTAAACAAATACTCGTCGTCCATATCGGGCACTATTTCTTGAAACTGCAAAATTAATGATAATGATATTTATTTATTTATTAAAATTTTAAGTACACTTGCAAATCTAATTAATATAATTTATGCAAATTTAATGCAATTCACAAACAAAAACAAATAAATCAGTGCAACCTTTGTGACGTCATAAGAATGCACGCAATGAATAAAATAAATTTAATTAATATTGCCTAAAATGTAAATTTCATTTTTTGTTCTTAATTTATTTTGCAATAGCTTTAAGTAATATTTATTTTGCAAAAAGTTTACACAATAATATTATGAATAAAATAGACATTCACTAACTTTTTGCCTTTCACCACTGTTAGTTGTTGTTTAGTTGCTTTAGTTTTCTAATTGCCAAGTTTTTGTTTATTGTTTTTTGATGAATATTTGCAGTTTAGTCGTTTTTTTTTTGGTTTGAAATGTTTCACATGATGATAGTTTATTTTATATTTTTATAAAACTTAAGCAAATAATTTACATTTTAATTTACTACAAACGAAAACAGCTGCAGAAACAACATTCCACAACAGCAGCTCAGTTTTTTCTGATTGGATTTGCTCTCAATTTGTTTTGACGGAGCAAGTATTTCTATTTAAAAGTGTTGCCAACTCATTGTAAAAATACAATTTTAAATCTTAATATAAAGAAATGACGGCTTCCAAAAGGATTAATTTATATATATTTATTTTTGTTTATATAAAATTGCTATGAAATAGCAACAATTATTTTATAGTCAAAATTTTTTTTTCATGAAATATCGTATTAATTGTGTTGTGTAAAATATGTACATAATATTTTGATAATCCGTTATATAAAATTAAGTATTTATATTAAGTATATAATGTGTAAATCTTTATCTTACACCAGGAAGATTATATATAATCAAACACTACTATTCGCTAGCTAGAAATTGTACAAAGCCAGGCTCTGAAAGTCTTTTCAAGGTACCATGGTACATTAGGACGAATGACATCTTCTGAGACCTAAAGATTGATTCGATCAAAAAATACAAGATAGAGCTCTGAAATTATTTACGAAAACTGACAGGCTTACCAATACCGCGTTATCGAATCTCAGAATGCTGATGTGAGATCAGTTATTGCTTACTCTGATGAAGTGATAAACAATAATCTAGTCAAGACATAGAGAGAGGTTATGAAGAAACCTCGCAGTTAATAGAGAGTAAAAGTGCTCAAGTGCACTGATTCAACTAGCCTCTACATAATAATATATTAAAATAATTTTATGTTTATAGTTTTAGATTTTTTAAAGATTTTAGTGAGATGTAATTTTTTACTTCAATAGTAATATATTGTAGCGTATATGCATCAAAGTAACTAATTTCAAATATACTTTGTTATGAACAGCGACATGGAATGTGCTTAACTGGCATATTTCTAGCGCTTATCGCCCAAGCAACAATATTGCTTGCGCAACGAAGTTATGCTGTTGTATGTTTACAAATGCATCTACCTATGCTACTCCGTATATAATAATATGTTTATGTATACACATGTGCGCTTTTGCATACTATACTTTAAGGTAGTTTAAGAATGTAAGATTTAGATTGAAATAAACTTAAGAACATAACTGACGCGTTTTATTTAAACAAATATTAAAAATGTTATAATATTTTTTAAAAGTTCTTAAAGTTCTTTAACTAAAACCACAAATCTTTAGTATCTTGACTTATAGATTTTCAACTGTTAAATCATAAATAGTCAGTTACAATGTTTACACCAGTCATAAAATCTATTTTCATACAGATTTAAAACTGAACTTGTGCTTTTAAAGAACTTGTCAGTTAAACATTGGTTTTCAAAATTTCAATTGGATTTTCAATTAATTACGCGGTGTTTGCTCTTACTAAAACCAACTTTAAACTGCTTTTAATATTAAAAAATTATGTTAAAATTGGTTTTAAAACTATTTTTACAATTCGCGCGTAAACGTAATATATATTTAATTACTTAATATATAGTTGTTAAATAAAATTTTTAAAAATATTGAATTCTGGTACTTGCAGTCTCAAAACATAATTATTTACGAATAATTAAATATAAGAATTATTTCCAAGACCACTGATGATGGGTATTTGGCAATACTCAAAACAGCTGTATGGTCAGCCAAAAATTAATTGAATTTTAATTGAATTAAAATAATATAAAAAAATAAAATTTTCGTTGTTGTAGTTCACTACTGTTCGAAAAAACCTCTTTAAAAATATTGAAAAAAATAAATACTGTGCACTAATCTAATCACTTCTAATCGATCTGATATATTTTATATATTCCATATATATTAAAAATGTAATATTCTCAAAACTAAACTTGATAAATATCTTTAAACATTTTGATCTTCATTAAATTGTATTCAGTGCTTTATTTACTCTCAAACAAATTAACATTAATTTATTTATTTAATAAATAATTTGTTTACTTGTAATCTGAAGCACATACAAATGTGCTTTGTTTAATATAAGCATTTAGAAAAAAATCGAAAAAAATCTCCATTAAAAGATATAATCACAATATTGACAAATCTCATCGCTTATTAAAATGATCTAATCCGTTGGTTGATATTTTTATTTGTATTGTTTATTTAATGAGTAAATAAAATATAATGAAGTTTTGTAAAAATAATACACAAAATATATTGTCAACTGGCACGGATAAACTTCTATGTTAATCATAAATTAAATTTTAACATATTTTTGGTAATTATTTTCAAGTTTGACGTTGCATGACATAAATGATCACGAATTTTGAGATTATAATTTTTATAATAACAAACCCATCAAAACTGAGTTAAGATGTAAGAAATCTTATAATATGTGTGAAGGTAAATGTATTTTAATTATCTTAAAAATAATCCAAATGATCATTATTGTGTTATAAAAACATCGTTTGGAACTTTTTAAAAGGTGAAGCGGAAATGATAAATTTTAGATAGAAATAATTTTTTTAATATTGTTATTAATCATCAATTAGGAAAGAACTAATTATTAATTTATCTGAAGCAATTTCAAACCGTGCTGATTTTTTTTTAATTAAAAACACTCTAGCTCTTAAGCCACTATTAATATTTTTTTAGTGTTAAAGTTATTTATTGCCGATTGCAATAATAGTAATATGGCGGTTTACTACCCAATGCACGACTAAATCGCAGTGACTGACTATATTAGAGTAGTTACAAATTTCAAATGTAGTTGAGCAAATGCATTCTCAAAGCACTGCCAACGATTAAGCAACAGCCACTGGCTAATGTATTCAATATAATTGGACTACAGTAAGAGTTGCCAATCAACTACTATAGCTTATTTGTGAGTTGCATATAATCATCATAGAAAGAGAAAATTTTTTTTCGTTATTGTAATAAAGAAAATATTTTTTTTCCAAAGAATATGTCAAAATGCGTTGAAAAATTCAACAGTTTATTTTATATGCATATATAAATCAGGTATATATATATATGAGCAGGTGACCAACAATTTGCGATTGCTCGGTACTACCAACTGGCGATAGCAAGCAACTAATCGGGCTGACTGGCGGAAGCTAACCGATCTGAGCAAGGACGACTCACGTCTGTAAAGTCCAACTAAGTAAGTAAGTAATATTATAATTTTTTGATTATAAATAAAGGACATTCATTAGAATACACTACTTTTATTATTATATTTATTATGATATAAGTTACAGTTTAAATCTAATACACCTTAAATATATACAGCGTGAAAAGTGCTGTCTATTATTTTGTGTGAATAAGCAGTTGTAATTAAAAGTCACTTAGGATAAATTGTTAGTAGTTTCTAAAACATATGGTCAACTGAATTGAATTTCAAAAAAACACGTTTAATGTTCAGAACATGTTTTTAACTTAAGATAAACGTAAAATGAATATTTGTGTGTTTATTGTTGTACCAATGCTAACCATGTGTTTCAATGACTTCGGAAACTTAGGTGGGCGGGAAGAACTATTAAATTATGGAGATCTATTAATTATGGATAATTATGTATAAAGATATGGATAAAAAAAGATCATAAAGTAAAATGGAATTATTAAGAATAAAGATATAGGGCAAGAAAATAGAGAAAACATATAACCATATAGGTTCTGGAATTGTTATTTTTTTTCTTGATATCTATATTTGATAGCGCGAAATTTAAAACGTGATTAAATATTATTGTTGATAACAACTGAGTTGATTTCAAGAGATTAACATCATATATTTTTGCTCTTGTATTCTATTCTGATATTATTCCTAGGAACGTATCAATAGAACTGTTTCAGTTATTGTACTATCGATGATGATCAAAACTTGTAGAGCTTTTTCATTTGCTCTATTGATGCTATTGAAAAAATGTTTAAAGTGTATAAATCAATACAGTAAATCAAGTCCAAATTCAATCTTATTTTCTGCTGCCTATGTGATTAAAAAAAACTATTCTGTTGTACGTTTCCCTATATGAAGTCCCTATATGTGGTATTGTCCTATTGTCCTACTGTCCTATGCCGCTTGCTAGATTAATTGAACTTTACATTATCGCATCTATAATTAATGTGATATTAGAAACTATTTGCTATGAAGTTTATCTACACTAAGCATTAATAGATGAAAACAGTACTCATGTATACAGAAAAGAACACGTCTTTGCATCCATGGACTTCTCACTATGTGGCAATACTACTTGATCAAACCATTTAGTTCTTTAGTTCTTTGTATTTTTGTTCATTACAAACTAAAAGACAGCTATTAATGACTGTCTTTATTGTTTATCTTTAATAAAAGGATGTAATAGTATGTATTTTTTTAATTGATAATATTAATTAATATATTAATTGATAAATTAAAAAAATAAAAAATATATATACATGAACTGAGTCAAAAAAGGTATTTGTTTGAAATTATTTTCATTACAGTATTTTCGGTAAAGAGACATATACTTTAAAAAAAATACATATATCTTACTGGTGCTTTTGTTGACTTAATCACTTTATAAACAATTTTTGTTTATTTATTTATGATTTTATTAATACTTGTAGATCTTGCGTTTTTTATTTGTTGCTAAATGTTTTAGTCGCACAATCTTTATTTGCAAGTTTTTCACGTGATGAGCACATTTTTCTTGTTCAAACCTGCCTCAGTAGGTAAATAAAGATGCGGTAGCTGTCAGTTTAATTGTTTTTAGATACAAAGATACTTTGTAGAATAAAATTTATAACTACTTTTTATAATAAAGTATTAATAATATTAATGATAAGATTAAGATTTTAGTGACTACTTTTTATGTAATTTATTTTTTTTTATTAGTAGCAGAATATAAAAATATGCGAAATACATTCATGATAATTGAATTATTGAATTATAATATATTAAAATAAATATAAAATAATAATTACAACAAAAATTATAATATAGTATAATCTAGCATATAGTAAATAAATTAATAAATAAAGGGTAATGAAAAAATAAAAATATTCATATTGATTGTAATAATAAATAAAATGAAATGCTAAAGCAAAAAAACTGTGGAATATCACACAACCAAATTGTTAGTAAAAAT